TACGTATTTATAAAACAAAATGTATTTAAGTACATCAGTTATTTATTTAGTATCCAGAGTACAAACTCTGTTTAGTTTTGGGAGTAGACTGCGTGCGAAATATCCTGGATTATTATTATTACTAATTATCCATATAGTTTGGGATTTATACCCAGGGTTAGGTACTATATGAAATATAAAATAAATATTAAATTTGTAACTGTATTTTACATTATTGTAATGTTATCCTTAATATTTAATATGCTTACATATTTTCCTCATCAAGAGGTAAATCCTTACTAATATTATAAATGCGAAAGTAACTCTGTCTGTCTATCGCGCTTACACGCCAAAACTACTAAACGGATAAAACACAGATAGTCTAGACACTGAGAAAGGACATAGGCTACTTTTTAATGCGAAAAAAGGATTGTAAGGGTTTGAACGGGGAAATGAAAGGTTGCATGGGAGTATCGTCATTTTTAAAGCTAGAACAATAAAACTTTTTATTTAGGCTTTTTTTGTTTAGATTATTAAATATTTTTTCCAAGCGAAAGTCGCGGGCACAGATAGTAAATAAATATATATAGCATATCTGTATAATATATGTAATGCCAAAAAATATTCTTCTTATATTTGTTCGTTGTATATTTCTGTCTATTACATGTACATGTCAATACTAATATTATAAGTGTAAAGAAAAGATTTTATATTTTGTTTGTTACTAATATTATAAACGTTGAAGTTTCAGAGTGTGGATAGATGGATGGATGGATGTTTGTTACTCTTTCACTCAAAAACTACCTTGCTGTGTACTCTTCGAACGTAACACAGTTTACAAAGTAAGCTTGAAGGTGAGAAAATATGTGAGAATGAGGTACTCACCTAGACCGCCTATATTTTAAAGGCATCGGTGAAGTACTGATTTAGTGTACAGCTTTACTTCCGATATTCACGGGTTCACTTCCTCGAATGCAAACATATGTATTCATGAGTATGATTGTTTATACCCTATCTGGGTGTTTTCTATGTAGTATGGGAGTATAGGGGGTAATATAGACTATAGATATAATATGTATGTATATACGAAAAAAATATATCTACATAGATATATTTTTTGTATCACTTATCTAGTACCCATAACACAAGCTTTAGCGAGCTTAACTTGAGTCTAGATGGTGCTGCATGAATTGTCCTGATATTATTATTATTTATGAAAAAAAATGAAACTAAGTATTTATATCAGTTACCATAAGACAAGCTTTGCTTAGCTTTGCTCTAGATGGCGGTGTGTGAATTGAACAAGGTTTTTATTATTAAATAAGCTACAGATAAAACATCAAAAACGTTCTGTTAACTATTTCAACACATATCTAAAATTGGACATACGTAAACACTCATAATATACGTAACATTGGAACGAATAATACAATCTTATTATACGTAATTAGCACTTTATATTGTCTATGAACTATATTTGGTAACAGTTAATTGTTCTGGTAATGTCGTCACTCAAACAGTTACATTTAACTTCATTGTATTTTTATGTAATTTGAATGACAAACAAGCTAACGGCACACCTGATGGTAAGTGGTAAGATCTTTTTTTAACTGATAAAATGAAATGGGACACTCGCCGGAGCGGTTTACCATGGTGGAGCAGCAGTGGAGCATGATAAGATGAACATGAGGTCAGGTCAGTAAACCCATAGTGACAAATTCACCAAGGAATTATCATGAGAGGAAACCATGGAGGTCATGATACATTGCTAGTAATGGGGTCGGCAGTCTACATTACTAACAGTCCCCTTTCCTCCACGCTAACCATCGCCTATATACATAAACAGCATCACGGACATAACATGATGACGTGACACCCGTGATACCAATTACACGTTGCCAATTCAGAAGGACTAAAATGTCATGCCTTGTATCTTGTAATTTCACTGCTTCGAAATTATCCCGACCTTTCAACTTGGCAACTGAAATAGACGAGACTAACGTACACAAGCAGATAACTTTTTAAACAGTCTACCAAGGTAAGACTAATGTTGGTGAGTACCTAAAAACTAACATCTTTGTTGTTGTACATACACATTTGAAAAGACTAAGCTTAGTTCCTGTCAGTTCTCTTTTATTGTCAGTTCTTGGCTCGAAAGCACTCTGAACTGATGGTAAAGACATATGAGTCTGTAATAGACCTACATGAATAAAGATATTGTGGTTTCCTTTGATTTGATAATTAATCGGTAGGTCTTTGTTTACCAAATGATAAAGTATTGTATAACTTAGCATATAATCCAGAGTATTCACTAGCGACTCCTAAAAGCTATAATAGCGTGATGTTATGCTATGATAGGATACAATATTAGTCAAGATCAGTTATTTAAAATGTATAAACAATTTTTATATTCAATAAATAGTATCAAAGATTAATTAGTACATTCACTTAACAAACCATTACGTTTTAAATGTCATTAGCTCCTTCATACATATGACATCATCTACATAAAATTTTATTCTCTATTACACCACCTATGTCTTTTCTATTTACCTTCATATTGAATATCTTTAAAATCCGTCCAACAATTTAGTAGTAAAAAGTTAATAAACGGTCAGAAGAATAGACAGTCATACATACTTTCGCATTTATAATATCAGTATGGATGGATTGTATTATTCATATTTATATCCTTTTTAAGCTCTACAGTTATACACAAAGGATTATTTGCATTAGTGATATTAATTTTCCGTATATTAACACAAAGGAATCATAATAATATCATCAATATGTATTTTTATGAGCAATATCGTTTATTCTCCAACTAATAACCGCACTTAAACAATAATAAAAAAAATATAAAATAAAAGACCAAGTTCATAAAGTTATACAGTTTTTTTTGTGGATCTTGTTCTGACTTTAACCTAGTACATATCCGGCAGGCTGTCTTTTTATACGGTTGAATTAGGATTATCAGTGATTTCAAAGGTTTATTTTATCAGAGTGGTACGAAAGGTAAATTTTGTACAATATCATATTTGTGGGTTCGTCTGCCTCGCCTATTTCAGCCATAACAGATTAAATAAATGAATCGAATCATTGAACAATTTAAATAAACATCTTATTATTAGATAAGGGATGAATTGAGGAATTAGAATAAATTCTTGAGCCGTCAGTAAAAATACATAAATATTTTTCAAATCTTTGTTTATAATTTTATTTTGTGTAATACATGTTAACTACATTTACTAACTTTTAATTCCATGTATATCTCTATGATTGTAAGTAAAATTTATTTAAAATTGAATGTATTATATTTATTTAATATATTTACCTTTATATTATATACCTTTATATCATTTTTATAAAGTTGTACCAACATATACCTATATACAAAACGAAATATTATTACAATATAGTTTTAAAGAATTACTATTAAGTTATTTGCCAGTATTTTTCTTTCTAACTATAAGTTAAAACTGAACACAAAAATATAAATAAAATAACCTATCATTTTAGAATCATTTATGAGTTTACATGAATTAATATATATATTAGATTTTATACTAATTATAAATTATTAAGTTATACTAAATCTATAAAACAAACATTAGGAGACGTCTATACAAGTTTCTCGTGTGACGTCACAAGCAAGAGTATTTTGGGATTTCCAAAGTTGCGGAAGGAAATATATTTCGCGCGGGTAAAGCCATGATATATTATATATTAACATAATAATAAGGCTTTGATATCTAAATATCGTATGTTTAACAAATTTGATGATTATATTTTATATAAAATAATTTGAAATTTATATAAAATGAAGAATATGCATATAATTTTTGATTTATATCCAAATGTATTCATTACATGTACTATTTTAATTATTATTATTACTATATGGTCCTATTTTCTACCAATAGCTTGTTTTAGAAAATAAGGTCTAAATATAATATTTTTAATATTCTAGAAATTAATTATTAAAATTAGTATTATTTTAAATAAATGACGATTATTTGTAAATTACGTTTATCACAAAAGAATTTTTTATTATGAGAGTAATCATTTAACTATGATGATAAATCAAATTTTTTTTTCTCCGAGTACATTTGCGATCAGTCCCAGGACTAGCGAATATGTTCTGTGATGCTGTCCTGTAGAGCGGCTTCCCATTGGAAACCTTACTCATCTGCATCCCAGAGCTAAAACTCTTATTATATATAGAAAATTAATGGTAACAAATCTTATTCAAATAAACTTTTTACTTAATTTTTTTATCCTACCACCCGTAACGAATGCAGATTCAGTAAAGATGAATGACCAAAATTTACATGTTGCTCTTTTTAACGAATTGTATAAAACTTTACATTTTCAAGAACTTGGGTACAGTTAAACTCATGCTTAATTTATTTATTCATGCAAGACTATATAGCATCGAAATATTAGCATCTTTTGCATGTCAATTTTTTTCTATACTTTTCCCTATTGTTCAGTTCAGGCCATATATTTCTTTGAGAAGAGCTATGGCATACGGCAACTGTTTTTTTTTTAAAGTCAATCAGTTAACATTATTTTCTTATTAAATATTGATTTATAAATTCCATAGTTTAAATTAAATTATGTAAAGCGATGTCCCTATGTGGATGGATGCTGCAATGTTTTTATCCGATCGTTTACAAAAAAGGCCATAGAAATTTTCTTATCAATAGAGAAGGGAAAGATCAGAATGTCAATGAAATAAAACTATATCTATTATGAGACAAACTTATACACCGTTGTTGTTTATCACGTTTAATTTGGTCAAATAACAATAAAACTATTAAAAATCGTGTGGGTTTACCCCCAAATCTAACGTTTTTGTCTTAAATATTGCTGATTAAAAAACATTTCAATGTAACAAAATTAAATAAGGGATCTGTAATTGTTTTTATCTGATAACCTATGTTAGTGATTTTATTTAAAAAAATTAATAACTACGTTATTGTAGGTTATGTTTGTATTGAAATAAAAAATAAACATACCGGTTGCGCTCTACGCGCTGCAACGTGTTCACTCTGCGCCGGCGCAGCACTGACTCTGAGTTCTGAGTCACTGGCGAATTGTCTTCCCATTGCCTTGACCCCGCTCCGAAATCTTGTTTACTTGTTAATATCGAATTGATCTATTTTTTCTCTATATTATGGAGTTGGGATTTCTGTATTCCAACAAGGAACTACACAAAACTGTAGTAGTAAATTGGCCTGTATGGAAAATTACTACCAGTTATCAAGTAGGATTAAATTTCCCAAGAATATGCAAACAAGGTTTAGTAATATATATTTTATAAGTTAACCTTCGATTTGAAGCTTTAACTTTAAAAGTAGATTACGGTATGTTGTTTACATGTACAATGTCTCATTGTTTTAACTTAAGTTGTTACTACTTAGTAGCTATAATCATTATTATAAGGTACAAGTAATTGCAAAAATACTTAGAATTTTTTCTTCTTACAATCTACTTCTGAGTTAAACTCAGTAGTAGATTGTAGAAACATAACTTCTCTCTTAGATGTGATAGTCGATGGTTTCTGTGGTCTAGCAATCTAGTCTTACATAGTCATATTTCTGGTGGTCGTGGATTCGACTCTTATACGATATAAACATTTATATTCATGATTAACATGGTTTGCATTGGTCTCATTATTTTAAGTAATTTACTATATTATGTGTTCCTGTCGATTGAATGTGATGAACATGAGGTCAGGTCCTCAGTCCATCGTAATAAATTCGGTGGAAATTTGTATTAATGGTTTTTAGGGGGAATCGTGATTCGGGATTTTCGTGGAGGTCAACCTGACATGGTACATTATTAGGAATGGGTTCATTAATCCACATTACTAGCTATCCTCTATTGCCCTGGGTTATTACTGTCATTAGGTTAGTAGAGGAAGACTGTGTAAAAAATCTTCTGCGTGGGTACCTCAATTATATCTATTGCAGTCACCAAACAGTTTATTTTATAATCTATGGATCGCTTGATGGGTGAGATATGTCAGTCAAATTACAGGAATGATGTCTTAGACCTCCGCAATGGTAACATTATAGTCAGCGTTATAGTACCATGATATAATCATGGTACTATAACGCTGACTATACCACTAATGGTAAATAATAATTATAAGGTTGATTGCCATTCTAGCACACTGCACGTAGGTATATATGAAAAGAACTGACATGTTTATAATAACATGACAGTTAACCTTATAATTATTATTTACCATTAGTGGTATAGTCAGTTTATTTGGCACTCCAATCCCATTACAAAAAGCATGAATGTAGCATGCTCTAGTTTTCTTACTCTTACGCGTTGTTATTTAATATGACTCGAATTTAATACTCCAATAATAATTATTAACAAGATATTGTTTCCTCGCGGTTGAGTATTTGAACAATCCGCTTAAATTACTCAGCTGCCGTTAGTACATACATAAGTTTATTCTTTTAATTATTCAGTTGGTTCTTTTATTCCCTTTTAAATTTAATCTGTACTAATATTGTAAGTTAGAAGGTATGTCTGTATGTTTCATATGTTTTTACGACTAAAAAATAACTCAACGGATATTAATTAAATGAAGATGGCATCAGTGGAACAGAATGCGTTACATTATATCTTAAAAGAAGGAGACGAAGTTGAGGATAACAGCTAGTTAAAAATATTACTAGAATGTAACAAAATCGGCAACTAAACATGATAACGTCTTGTTTTGAGATTACTCATAATCCAAACATGTAATGTCAATAATGGTTAATAATTACGGAAACGGATAACGAAACAATGTGACCATGCTAATTCTACTAAATAGATAATAGTTAACCTTAGACCAAGAGAAAGTAAAGAGGGAACAATAAAAAAGCCGTAAAATTATGTGCAAAAAACAAACACTCAAAGAATAATCCTGAACTGTCATATGATAATAGTTAGTTATAGAATAGGAGTGAAGCCGCGGGCAAAAGCTAGTTAAATAATATATGCGAACAGACAGTGGAAGCGACTTTATTTTATACTATGTAAAGTTTTATTATTTGACAGTACTTTATTAACATATATAATAAATAATAATGTCGGGACAATTCACACAGCGCCCTCTACACCCAAAGTTAGTAACAGGTTCCTTATTCCTGAATAAAACATAAAAAAGCCATCACAAGATGACGGAATATCTATGTTCCTGTTCATGTACGAGAGTATAGGTGATGGTTACCAGGTACCATTAGCCAGTTTGCTATTACAATCACATAAAGAAAATATATTTTTAGAGAACAATGATTTCATTTTAATAAGTACGTTATGTTTCATCTCGGCTATGTTTTGCTCTGAGTACATACATGTACCACCTGTTGTCGTTATGGATTTATGACAGTGACGATCATCATATTATGGTTTAAGTGATTACAAAAAGAAAAGGTTATCATCTGATTATTTTCAGTTACATGTTCATTTATACATTACATTCAATTTTTCATCCATTTGTATAATAAATTTTGCATATATTCTATTAGCAAAATTGTTAACGTGGTGATACCTAACCGAGCTCACAACTTCGAAGCCTTATAAATTTATCGTTTACAAACGGTTTGGAATAAAATATATACAAAATTTTTAAACAAGCTTACTACAATAGATTATAGAATACCATATTCAAATCGTTTACGCTGTTTCTTAAAGACTTTCTGAGATTATCATGTACAAACACACAGACAGACAGAGCAAAATTTTACCAATTATTGTTTTTCGAATTATTATTAATTTTTAGTTGATAAAAACCCTCATTAATACATAGTTTTCATACTATTAATAAGGGCCTTTATATTGTATTGTATATCCTTCATGAACAGACGATTAGCTACATTTTTATTACAATAGTAATCACAATTGATGTATTAATTTTTTTAGAATAAAATCAAATGTTGAATTCATTAACATGGTGATTTCTTGATTGATGTTACTGTACTTTATCCAAAATTACATTTAGCAATTTAGTAATATTATTAAATCTCTGACTTCTATTAGAAATACTGGTAAGTTTATTACAATGCTTCAATATATTTAATAGTTGATGAGATCCTTATGTAAAAACTCGTCCCTCTCGAAATACTTTGTTTCAAATTATATATTTAGCTTCTGAGTAAATTATGATACTTTAAAACATATTTACATTGAATTACCATTTTATTAATTATTAATTAGTCAACATATCAGAATACTATCAATTTACCTATGCAAATGATAATGGTAAAATTTTCGTAATTGAACTATTTTTTATCATCATCTTTGCCGTTATCCCATTATTTGGGGTCGGCGCAGTATGCTGTTCTCTTTCACTGATCTCTATCGGCCAATCTGTCATATCTGATCATACTCTCCTTTTATTCATACCAAATTTCACACAATTCATTCATATTTTTCGGCGTTCTCTTTCCATCCATCCACGTTCATATTATCCACTTTTCATAAGACATGATCCTCGTTCCTCCTAAGCTCAATATGTTACCTCGCAACTTGTCTATAATTGGCGCAACTTTGAAACTTACTCGTATATACACATTCCTTATTCTTTCATTCCTAGTTACCCTACACATCCATCTCAACATTCGCATTTCTGCCACATGCAGCCTTTCGTCCGTCCCCTTCACAGTTACAGTCCAACATACCAGCGAATCAACAGATTTTTATATGGAATTTCCATAATGGAAGAACATTCGATGGTGCACCCTTTTGTTACAACGGTATAGGTCTAACAAATCAGTTAGCCATGTAGTAAATTTACCGCGATGGTTTCAGGAGGGTGGTAGTTGCCCTAAGTTTGACAACTCATCCTCATTACTGAGAATTTCCTCCCACAGAGTATATGTACTGTGGCGCCCTAATTTAATTTATTAATTAGTAATTTCACTAACATGTCGCCCATCAAACTGAGTAACAAGTTGAATGTGGGCATAATAATAGGATATTTTTGAATCAGCGCGCTGATTTAAGTTGCATAATAACAATAAGTTTACAGCCCACATTGTAATTTAAACGTAATGGTTTGAGTTACATGTTTTAAAACATTCATATGATTTTTTCCAACTGTTGCTATTATAGGTAATCTATTTCTATCAGAAGTCGATCTATGTTATAAGAAATTCATAACCTCACATTTTTAGTGGCCTTGGATCAATAAAAGTGCCAAAAGCGTCTAAACATCTGGCGCGAACCCGGGAGAACTAGGCGCATGCGTGGGTCTGAGTTGCCAGGATAATAAAATTTTCTTTACCATATTGCTAGGAAAATTGTTTGAGTAATTTTTAATTAGATAAATATACGGAACTATAAATGCAATATTTATACATTCGAAGTATAATTCACTTCAGATGGAAGATGAAATATCGAAGTAATCTTGAGTCATAAAAAAATATACCATCACGATTTTTATCTGTAATAACATTTGACAATGCTCTGACTGCATTGTCTAATGTTGAAATCGTGATGAACGCAATATTTGACATGATCATATTTGTTGGGTATATTTGCATCCGACTTGACTGCAGCGAACCTAAACCTGATTTTTTTATTTCTTTAAACCCACATTTTTTTATTTGTTTTAGGTTTATCCTTTCCGGAGAGTTACCCCTAACAACCTTATGTATCTTATAAATTGATACACAAGGTTGTTTTGTGTTGTCACAGATTACAACACAACTTTTTAGAACTAAATCCAGGTTATAAACCTCATGACCACCCCCTTATAATGCCAAGTATGTTTTTTATATGTAATATTATTAACATTAAGTTATCTATGTATTCTACTTCAATTAGGAGATAAATTGATAATGAAATATGTGTATGGGTTTATATTAGGCTTTCAGGGTTTCACCTTTTATGATGTGGTATCTAAATATATTTTTCATACTGGAGTCCTTTCTCTTTCTTATTCTATTTTTCAATTAATTTTTATTTTATGGTATGATACATATATTTAAATGATTTATTGTTGACTTATTCAAAGTGAGTAGCTTTATAAAAGGTATTTATAATAACGTTGTAGAGACTTCAAATAAATAAAAATTACTATTTCACTATTTTTTGCACCCGCAAAAAATGTAATAAATAATGTTTATGTCATTAATATATGTATTCACACTTTTATTATTTTTCGAGTCAAGCGCCTTATGAAATATTATACGCAATGACCCAGATTAAAAAGTTAGTCTTACGAAAATTTTGCTGGTCGTAAAAAGTTTTTTAAATAAAAAGTTCTATTCGATCTTTAAAATATTTTGGGGACTTCCATTGACCGTGGCAACTTCAGACATAAACGTCAAAACCATGTATCTGTAGCAAATTATCCGCGTAAATAATTACATTTCTATTAAATTATGAATGAAAATTTGTAGATTTTGTATGTAAACGCATTTACAAAGTTATAACAAATTGTTCCAGTACCCACCGCGGGGTTTTTATAAAAGTATTGTCATTCAAACTGAGTGTTATGTATGAACGCGGACAAAATAATCACGATGTGTTCAAAAAGTAATGTTTAATTGTTATTGTATTAGAATTTAGATGGTTGTTGAATATAGTCTTCCGTGTAGTATCACATATCTTCAAGCTTGTTGTCTGTTCTAAAAAAGGTTGTGCTAAATAAAATTGAAGAAATTACGTTTACACTAAAAGGTAATATATTTTATAAACTTTTTAAATGTATCTAATTTATATTATAATTATGTAAAATAATTTATAATGAAACTTACAATGCTTGCGATAGACAATTACGTTAAGATTTATTTTATTATTAATTAAATTATTCAACATGTTTCACACACAACGTAAAAGATACTGTATCTTTTTTATGTAACTTGAATAGCAAACAAGCTGACGATCTACCTGATATGTAGACTGTATATGTAGACTAGGATAGACAGGAACTATTGTTCCACGGATATTACGTTATCATATGAGTTACCATTCCAGAAGACTTGGACTGCATATCTCTTATTTTGTAATTATAGGGTATGTGTATATGTCTTTCAAGTATAAGAACTCTTGAAATAATTCTATTGAAATTATTAAAAAAAAATATTTACAATTTTACTGACTGACGGACTGACTATTTTTAGTATAGCTATAAATATATTTATGTCTTGTAAACGCATTTATATTAGCTTGCGTATATGCATGTGATATCTTCGCCAATTTTAGCACCGAATTTGATATGGCTCTTTGATAAATCGGTAGAGCGTATTCTTATGTCAGTCGCATACATCTTTTCTTATTCAATCTGGATTTTATGAGATGACACTTCACCTGTGGTGGACCGTACTAAGTAATGTGCGGGTTTACCTGCTTCTCACATAACTCAGCCAGCTGTAAAGCAGCCCCTTTCAGTTGGAGGTAGAGATATGGCAGGTAAGGTAAAAAATACTGAGGTACATTTTAGTCCCCCGAATTAGCATCACATAAAGAGTAAATAAGGGAGTAATTAAGAGTACATAATAACGTGATATCCGTAGCGCTTCCCTCCACCTCACCAAAATGATGACCACCTTCAGGAAGAAGGACTACTGGCCAAAGGTGGCCTGGCCAAAGGTGGCGTGGCGAAGCTATGTGGCAGATTGTCGTCGTCGATACCGTGACCATAGAGACGATTTATTTTATTACATATATATGATTTATTTTATTACGTATGTTAGTCTATAAGGCAATCGAATTTATAATATGCGCCATTAGTAATAATAATAATATCAGGACAATTCACATAGCGCCATCTAGACCCAAGTTGAGATAGCCAAAGCTTGTGTTATGGGTATCTAAAATAAAAAATAATAATATATAAATTTAATCGAATTAGGTGTTATTTTGCGGAAGTCCATTTCACTACTCGAGGGATTCATATTATTTTGTTTAATTCTGCTAAAATTAATACGTGTGAGACTACGAATATTCGTTGTGGAAACCTGACCAAGTATACAAGTACTTGGTCAGGTTTCCACACCGGAATTAAAAAAAATATATAAATCCATCAAGTAATAATATATAGGCGATGTTATTACCCCGTAATTGAGAGTGGTCTCAATTACGGGGTTTGTCAGCTTTGCTATTCCAATTACATTAAAATAAAAGGATTAATAGTTTTACCATAAATAATGTATCCATCACTAACAGTAGAGATTAACTATAGAAGAAATAGATTTGTGGTTCTCTTTACATTTGCTGACTTTATAAAATATGAGGGTTGCTGTAAATGGCTGCGAATGCTGTCCTGCGGAGATTAAATGGACTACATTCGCTCAATTTATTCCATCCATAATGGATTAATCTTTATCCGTTCGTGTTTTGATTCAAAATTTATTCGAATTCAGTTTCAATTTTAAAGAGTTTTCTTCTACTAAATATATTCAAAATTTTCAACGAATTGGTTTGAAAATTTATAAATATTTTTGTTTCTTTTTCTTAATTATTTTTATTCTCTTACTTTTTATACTTTGAAATTATTATTTTAAAATTAAAAATGGATATTCGTTTCATTTATTCGCTCACTATTAACAAGTCTGTTATAATTAATTACATTTTTAGAACGTTTGTTTTAGGTAACCTTTTTTTAAATACGAAACTCGTGATAACAAAAAAGCTCCGGCTTTGTATCTATGCCTCAAAGGGGCCAAATTAGGCCGGTTGCTATGGTAGCGTCTGGTTGGAATATCTCGTTATTCGAAATACGACCCTAATTACTAGCTAGACTTGATAATAAGAAAAGATTACTACATAATAGACATATATTTATATGATTAACATAGAATTTGCATGGAAATATTTCAAAATATCTATGTATTGTGTAACATATAAACTTCAACATCAATTATTTTAGCCGCTATAGCAAGCTGGCTTTGTGAACTGTGTTTTAGTTGGAAGGTCAGATTAGGCAGTGAGTTAGGGTATCATATGATCGGAGCTGCGGAAGAATGCTCGCGCACACCCGGAGCTCCGGCAATAAGCACTAGAGGTACACCTTGGGGTTTTAGCCGGTAGGAGTCCGGCAGTACCCGCTCGTTACCCCTAGAGCGGGCGGGTCTCCATGACGGATTTCCCCAAGAAAAAAAATAAAATATTAATCATGATAATGTGATAGCCGTAGCTATTCATAAATGGACGGCAATGGCGGCGGCTCTTACAATCAGGTATGCTAACAGTTTCTTTGCCATTATTATTACATTTAATAAAGTATATGAAGATTTACGAAATTTACAAAACTAATTTAAGTATAACCTTAGAAAATTATTTTACAAACCCTTCATGCAAACTATTGTACTTTAAAACTGAATTTTGAATACTAAGCTGATCAATACTAAACTTCAATACTGTACTGGTCGTACGAAAAATTCAATAATAATTTAAAACTTTTCATAGTGGTTCAGTTTCCTGAGTATATTCTAAATTCTTTATCACAAATCATCTATGTTTTGTATAGTTAACGAAATAGTTTTATACGACCATTATTGCCCATAGTAGTCCATCATGATTGATGTAAAAATAAGGAATCGTTTTAAGAAAAGACTGGATGAAAAAAATGCCACTGAATATATTATGAAACATTTTACTAGGAGTCATTCATCTGAGAGCTTTTATATTGATAAAGCACGTTTAATGTTGTTACAGAATACCTAATGAGGTATAAGAGACGCACGTCGCAGGCCTCGCGGTCGCGGCACTCAGACAAAAAGTATACAATACGTAAGTATTTTTATTCTCTTTCACCTTTTTGATTTTCAATGTTCATAATCTATTTATTTATATATAAAAAAAATATGTTCTTGATCAGTAAGATATTGCTAATAGCATTAAGACCACCTTTTGTAAATCATTATTTTTCATTGTTTTGCACTTATTGTTTTTTGTTTATGCACACATAAAATATATTTCTGATAATTTCTGGTCTCAATAACTTGGTCTTGTATTGCCATAAAGGCATCAGTCTTTAGAAGAGTTCTCCTCGATTCAGCCATGCGTTCGACGCCTCTTTGTCGACATGAAGTTGGCATAAGTCTTGGCGATGTCTTCCGTGTAAAGACTTTTATTAATATTACTGTGTAATACCAATGCACGTATCAAGGAATAGACATCACCTGCACCATGTACGAACAGTGGATGTGGATATACATACATAACAACAATAAGTTTATTGTTCTCCCTCACGCAATGAACTAGTTTTTTACAAATAACAAATGAAATTATTCAGTTCTCTAGGAGAAAGTAGCCACAAATAGGTTTCTCTGTGCTATAAGTATCCTGGCATCCTCCTATCTATGCGATATAAAAAAATACATGATAGAATGAAGAACCCTTAAGAACTAACAGAAATTAATGTAAACTAAAATTTAACTAAACTGAGTTAAATGTAAATGTAACTAAAAATTGTCTTTAGATGGAAGATATATGAGAAAAATTATTATTGGCGGACTATATAAACCTGACTGCAAGGAATTAATACTGTGTGTTTTGTTGTACGCGTTTATCTCAAAAACAGCTTAGCCGATTTGTGTGCGGTTTCACAATTATATAGTGTTAAAATTTACTTAAAATTTATGTATATATATTCAAATCGGATTACAAATAAAAACTTCTACTGATATGAAATCGTAGGCTTAACTAGCGGAAAATGTCGTATTTTTACAATTTATTGTTAAGATGATGATCTTTGATATATGTAGAACTTTTACCCACTTGATATCACACGATGTGTGTCAAAACTATTTTTTTTTAAATTGTAATGCTGTTAGTTGCAGCTTGTATTTGCAGCTTGATCAAACAAAAATGGGAATTTTCCCATTTTCAATCAATTTCTCTGTATCGAAATTACGACAGCCTGAGCCAAGGTTGAATCCTTAGCTGTATTTTTACAGGAAAATCTAGGAAATTGCAACCTGAAGTTGCCATAATAATATTTGTGCTGGGTCTTTTGGGCGGGTTATTTAATTTCAGCCCCTATTAACAATAGGTATTTTACAATGTAGTTACCTCTTTTAAGCATTATTTTAATCAAAGAAATGAAAATCCCAAGTAAAATCTGACTGTTCGTTCAAGCTGTCAGAAGTAGGTACAAAATTTTATCGTTAGAGGGTTAGATGACGCTTGATTTCCGGATGACCGAACTCAAACGACTGTCGCCGCCGCCGCCGGCCGGCTGTCAGGCGCCTATTTGAACGAACAGGACTACCGTTTGTAAAAGACAGATATACATATATATTATTTTATTTATTTACTTGTTCTATTGTCTATTTCGTCGGCCTCGGTGGTCTAGCGGTTTATTACACCGCTTTACTTCAGATGGTCGCAGGTTTGATTCCTCGCATGGAGCAAACATTTGTATCATCTATTCACTATACGATTACTTGAAGAACGAGCCTGCATGGCAATAGTTATTTATGCACGGGATGTTCATCAATTGAGTTACTAGCCAGTTCTTCTCAATTGAATCTATATACTGAACTGTACGGTAGGGAACAAATAATTGTATAAAAATTTTTACGTTCATAAGCGGCTAAAAAGTACGTAGGGACGACTAGTTTCAAAACAATACTAATAGTTTTATGACATTTAAAAGTTATATGGCCTCTGGGTATGTTTTACGATCGGGAATTCGTCATTGCAACGCTGAATCCTGTCATGCGCCGTTACACAAAGCTGTTAAATTCAACATTTATAGCTTTCATTTTGTGGTTTGACTGGCCATTGAGGGAATTTCCAGTTTTAGAATTGTTTTTCGTAACTCTTTTTCAGCTGAGCTCTGAATTTTAAAGCTTTTGTATGTCCCCTGTACGTAAAGTCAAAATAAATACAAATATGCCCAATATTGTTTATAATATACGCTGGAACCTAAATAGTATCGGACAGTGCGGTTTCAGAGAAACTACCTCCCATGTACATTTAGGTTGTGGAATGTGCTACCTGCCGAAGTTTTCTTGTGAAACTGCAGAATTGGGTTTTCAAGAAGGGTAAAATAAGTTTATTAGTTTAAAGTGTTTCGTGTTAGTTTTGCTCAGCTCGAAAGCACTCCGAACTAACGGTAGATTTGACATAGCATAGGACTCTGTAATAGTACGTATATTAATAAAAATATTTTGAATTTGGTACGGGGTAACACTGTAGATGTTTCAAGCGTCCATAGGCTGCGGTAAGCGTTTACTATCTGATGGCTCGTATGTTGGCATAAATGACAGAATTCAGCAATATTATATTATATTTTTGGTATATAATATATAAAACCTAACTCCGTTTCTTGAAATATAAGATATTAAGGTTTGGTTACATTAGCCGACTGTGTAATTTATTTTTACACAATTGTTTTTGTGACTCCCAAATTGTGCTTAGGAATAAAACAATTTATTTGATACATCTCTCCTTATTCAGGTATATTCGTGTGTTTATTTTTGCCTATACGCAAAGTCATAATCGACAGATTTTATGACCATTGGATCAAAAGAAGAGACTCGAATAATATTTCATTCGGTTTTATGTACGCAATCGTCCGATGTAAGCGGTGTATAGTGACCAAAATGTACTATACATATTGAGACTATTATTAATCATTTTAAATTGAACAATGGTTTATTACTTACACATAAGTTACTATGCAGTACCAGATTATGAAGAATGGTATACACGTATTTAAAAATGTTTACTGTGCAAAAAGATTTGTAAATATTATACAATAGAATAAATATACATTTCATTATTAATGTAACATTTTGGATGAAGAATAAAATTAAATATAGAAAAGAATTTTTGAAAATGAACGTACAAAAGTAAAAAAAGTCTGTTCATAAACTAGACGATTGTGGTCTTCGTACAGTCTATGGAGTGTCGTACATCCGTGTATTGGATGTCGGCCAAATGCTCTCAGTCGGCCTGGCGCCTTGGAGACACGGCTAAGCAATAACATTAGGGGATAAAGTTAGTTCCTACCAGTATTTTCTCTCTATTTGATTACTTTACACAATATTACTGTTTTATTTGGTAGACTAGTAATCTTGTTTAGATGTTTTTGTACAGTATCATATATAGTCTTACTCGTATTAGCCATCATAGTTAGTTCTACAACTTAGTATTTTATTTATTTATCTAGGCATATTTTATTGTAATCGTTTATTTTAGTATTTATATACATATATTTATACCTTTAGTATTTGTATGTATTTTGTATTGGTATATGTATACGTATTTTAGTACCTATAGTGTGTCACCTACCTTTTCTTTATTCAAAACTTCTATACTGACAGACAACCTGAGAGAGATTGTCTGTCAGTCAGTTTCTACGCTAATAGTTTACGCTGGCGGGGCAGCAGTGCAGATACTGACCATGAGGTCAGGTCAGTTTGCCCATCGTGACAAATCTCCAGGAACTTATCACAGTGGGCTCTATGGGGAACAGCGTGGAGGTCAGCTTGACCTCCACGCTGACTGACATGTTAAATTGCTAGAAATTGCTAGGGGTTATCAGTCCACATTACTAACAATCCCCTTCTCACCATATAAGCATCATTGAATAATCATATTTCTTTATTCTGTTGTTATTTGTTTATCCATGGCCCGTAACAAACTGTGTATTGCTTGAGACTAGATGGCGCTGTGTGCATTATCTAGGGATTATTATTATTAAACTTTCTCAATTCTTTGAAAATGTTAATTCGACAACTTTGAAAGACCTTTAGAAGGCAACACGTTAAACTTGTCACTGTCAAACAAGTCCATTCATTAGGAACTGACAATGTTGAAGTTTGTTGCTAAGTTGCCTGTTGCCTTGGGAGTTTTATAGGAATTTGACAAGTATTTTGCTTTGTTCCTGTTTGTTTGCTCACCCTCCACTCCTTTCATTGTTTGTATAACTGTTCAGTCATGTGATATATTGCAATCTTGTCGTAACTAATCAGAAAATATAATATATATTAAAGATTTATATAGTCATTGTTTCGTAGTACATTTGCTCATATACATTTTTTTAATGTACAACAATGAAATGATTAGTATTTTATTTTGTGATAGATAATGGAATGTTTCACCCGCCTGCGCTAACGGTTTACGCTGGCGGGACACCAGTGGAGGGTGATAAGATGAGCATGAGGTCAGGTCAGTTAGCCCATCGTGACAAAATTATCAGGAATTTAACACGATGGTTTTCAGGGGGAACCGCGTGGCGGTCGACCTGACATGGTACATTGCTAGCAATGGGGTTATCAATCCACATTCCACATCAAAAAAAAAAGATTAGTATTTGACACACAAAGTTTGTTTGTGTATTGGACAGATTTGTAATCACGGTCTCTTGGACGTAAATCAGGGTAGTATAGTACCAGGTCACATGTTTTTCTTTTTACAGATAAAAAACACAGTAGCATGTAATGTAACAAAATATAATTGTCAGAAACTTGATTATTTAGTTTCTATACAATTGTTCAAGAACACGTCATAAAAACATTTCTGAAGTATATTTAATATATTACATTCTTGCGTCGTGTTTGTAACAAAACTCCTGAGAGATTTGACCGATACTTATAATATTTTGAGTGTATAGTCAGTAGATGAGAATAGGATAGAACGTAAAATAGTTTTCATGACCCTAAGTGATAATCAGTACGATTTTATTTCATTATTGGACAAATACTTTTGTTTTATAATTCGGCATTAAGTACATATATACATATAGTACTTTAATAATTTTCTAATTTAACACTCGG